TAATTTAGTTCCAGGCACCAGCTATATACGTAGACATTAATTGAGAGGTCTCAATATTTAAAATAATAGTCATCTTGCGGGCTAAAAGATAAAGATCAAAAGAAAGTGTCCAAGCCTGAGACAGCTTGACTGATAAATAAAACGAGGTTTTTGTCAAACCGGTTGGGATGCCTGCCTCCCTGAGGGTGGGGTGAAATTTTCCACAGGTCTTCCTTCCTTCCTTCCCCTCTGAGCCATTAACCAATCATAAGCTTATTCCCACTCCGAATAATGGTCACCTCTTCCCTTTAGTCCTTTGACTATCTCTAGGGAATGTCATCTCGAGGGTGACGCTGACGCGCTTGCTGGCCGGGCGGTCGAGTGCGCGTGCGCGTCTCCTTTTCCCGCTCTTTTTAACCGCCGCTTCGTCTCTGAGGCGAAAAAAAAGCAGGTGGAAGGTGAGGCGTCGTCGATACGGAGCGGAGCGAGGGGGCTTCCCCGGGCTTTGAGGGGGTTCCTCTGTCCGCCGTCGCTCGGTTTCCGCTGCTAGGAACGGGCTCTGCGCTTTCCCTTTCCTCTCAGGCGCTCGCAGCTTTCCCGGTTGGCTAGGATAGGCGGCTGTTCAACAGGTGGGCTTTTCTTCCCCCGTGAGGAACGGGGGGCGGAGGGGGAGAAAGCTGTGGAATGCCTGCCTGCCTAATTGGGGGAGGAAGAAGGAGCCTCCGCCGCTGAAGAGCCTGGACGGCCATTTGTCTGGATCGGTGTAGTAAGGTCACCTGCTCGGCCAAAGGGGGGGTGGACTAGATGACCTCTTAGGACCCTTTGTTTGTTTTAAAAATACAAATAATAAATACAAATAATGCAGACATAGTAAATAAAATTTATTTTTATTTATGTATTTGTATTTAAAATGCAAATCATAAATACAAATAATGCAGACATAGTAAATAAAATTTATTTTTATTTATGTATTTGTATTTAAAATGCAAATCATAAATACAAATAATGCAGACATAGTAAATAAAATTTATTTTTATTTATGTATTTGTATTTAAAATGCAAATAATAAATACAAATAATGCAAACATGGTAAATAAAATTTATTTTTATTTATGTATTTGTATTTAAAATGCAAATAATAAATAGAAATAATGCAAACATGGTAAATAAAATTTATTTTTATTTATGTATTTGTATTTAAAATGCAAATAATA